TAGCCAACCAAGCTCCAGTGGAAGGCCACACAAGGTAGCCTGGGATAAGTCAACCAAGCTCCAGTGGAAGGCCACACACCCAAAAATTTTAGGGCAGTACAAATTGGTCTCATTGGGGGAGGGGCACAGACTCGAGTGGGAAGGGAAGGGAGTGGATCTGGAAAGAGTTGGGAGAGGGGTGAATATGATCGAAATGCATTGAATGGAATCCTCAAAGAATTAATCAAAAAAGAAGAGGAGGAGGACGGATGGAGAGGAACAGAAAGAGGAAGGGAAGGAAGACAGGGAGGAGGAAGAGAAAAAAAAACACAGCAACAAGTTATGATGGTGGTGATGATGGTGGTGATGATGGTGGTGATGATGGTGGTGGTGATGATGGTGGATGTGGTGATGGTGATGATGGTGGTGATGGTGGTGATGATGGTGGTGATGATGGTGGTGATGGTGATGATGATGGTGGTGATGGTGGTGATGGTGGCTGAGGTGATGGTAGCGATGGAGGTGAAGGTGATGGTGGTGATGGTGGTGGTGATGATGGTGGATGTGGTGATGGTGATGATGGTGATGCTGGTGGTGGTGAAGGTGATGGTGGTGGTGATGGTGGTGGTGGATTCTCGAGCTGTGTGTGCCAAGGGACATTGCAGTTAAATGGAGTGCTTTCGTTCCTGTTGACCCGGAGGTGTGCGATGCCCTGCTTCACAGGGAAGCCAGCTCCACATAGTTGCTGGAGGTTGTCCATGTAGGACGGCACTGTTTCCTCTCTGGGGCTCTGGGGCAGGAGGCGAGGGCGGCAGGGGGCTACAGAGCCCCTCCATGCCTGGACCCTGCTCCCACAGCATGGTCTGTGCGGGAATGCACCGCCACCGTCTCCCCCCGCCCAGATGACAGCAACAGCGCCTGCCCGTTCCTGAGGACACTGTGTCTCACGAGCCTTCCCCTCCCCGCTCCGGGGGGTAACAGTTATCTACCTGCAGAATCAGGGGCAGTGCCGTGGGGGAGGCCAGGTTGCCACGTTGCCTCACTTCCGTGTGCCGGGCAGGAGGAAGCCCTGCTGTCAGGTCTGTAGGACAGTGTCCTGTGTGCACACTTCCTCTTTCCCAACGCCTGTGTCACTCCCAGCCTGTCTCCTACCACAGCCCCCTCCTTCAAGTCTCTGGGCCCTACCCTCCTAGTCCCTTCCCTCTCTTTAGGAAATGAACCACTCCACCACCATTAGCACCCCATCCTCAGAATACGTCCCTTCCTGAATCTTTTGGGGTTTTTTTGTTTTGTTTTGTTTTGTTTTGTTTTCTTGTTTTTTCGAGACAGGGTTTCTCTCTGTAGCTTTGTGCCTGTCCTGGAACTCACTCTGTAGACCAGGCTGGCCTCGAACTCACAGAGATCCGCCTGGCTCTGCCTCCCAAATGCTGGGATTAAAGGTGTGCGCCACCACCGCCCGGCTCCTTCCTGAATCTTGAGAAATTCTCTCAGGCTCTGCTCAAAGGCATATGCAGCCTCGTGGTACCCGACATTCTCGGGAGAAGTGGGATGAGAGGAAGTTCTGGGGCCTGAGGCTACCACAGCTGGAGGGAGAATAGTGGTAGACGTCCCAGAACCGGCTCCCAGAAGCCTCCGTCCAAAGCTCTATATCTCTGTGGGAAGACCGTTTCTCTCCATCTGGAGCTGGGCTTGGTGCAAGTTGATGGGGATGGCGGATATTTTATGCCAGACAGACTCTCCAGTTGAGAGTCACAATGGACCTCCTCAGTCATTAGCTAGAGAAGCCCTCAGTCTAGCAGGACAAGAAACCAATGTCTCTTTATAACAATACTCAAAGACCTTTCAAAATAACCCTGGTATCTCGGTCCTGGCTCCTTACAAACCTAACACATGCCCCATGGGCTGTTATCAGTTCACTTGTGTTCCCAAAAATTTAGACACAGAACCTCAGAATACAAGCTTACTCATAATCAAGGTCATGGCTGATATAATTCATCATACAAAGTCTGATGATGGCTGATGCAACTCCTGAGACGGCTTAGCAGATGAGCACGGGCTGCTCTTGCAGAGGTCCTGGGTTCGGTTCCCAGCACCCACGTGGTGACTTACAGCCATCCATAACTCCAGTTCCATGAGGTCTAGTGCCTCTTCTGACCTCTGTGGGCACCAGGCACATGCATGGGACACAGACATATATACAGACAAAACACATGCACATTAAAAATAAACAAACAGATAAATCATACCAGCATACGGTGGGCCTTCATCCAACATGAACACTGAACATAAGATGCTGAAATGGACACCCTGCCGGGAAATGGCGCAGATTGATGGAGTCACGGCAGGAGCCATGTGTCTACAAGTTCAGGGATGATAAGGGCCCCTGGCGGCACCGGAAGCCGAGGGAGGAGCGTGGATCGCATTTCCCTTCAGAACTCTCTGAGAGCATAGCCCTGCCTACGCCTCGACGCGGGACTCCAGTCTCTGTGTGAACCCTTCCGGTGCGCTGTGTGCCTGTACGGACTCTAAAACCTCAGACGATCATCCACCCGAGTGATGCCAGCTCAGAGCGACTCCTTGTGCTCCCCGCCCCTCCCAGGAGAAGGTGCCCGTGTTTCAATCCCTCCCACGGACGCGGAAAATTGTCCCTGATCGAAGCCTATCCTGCTCTAGCCTGGTGGCTGTCACATATCACAGAATCTTCCAGAAGCAGAGACAGGATGCCGCTGAAGAAAGACAAACGGGAACAGCCAGCGGTGTACAGGCGTTGACACATGCTGCAAGCAAGAAATGACATAATCCCCCGACCGACGGGAAACTGAGCAAACGCTGGCTGGAAGACGCGGCAAGACTCCCGTACCGCTCAGCTCACCCGCCCTTTACGACAGGCCAGGCTCAGAACCGTGCGCTGTGCTCACCGGCATCAGTGAGACCCCATATCCATCCACACGTCTTCTCTGGCTTTGACATTGATTTAGTGAGGGTATTAAAGAGATGGGTACTGTTCAGAGAATCAAATTTTTCAAGTGTTATCAGTATTCTGAGGAAGAAATTGCTTTTAAAGTTGTAAATAGAGTTGTTCAGTAAAATATAGGAGACTTGATTGAATTTGAATTTTGGACAACAAATAATGTTCTTGTATAAGAGTGTCTCAAATACGGCATGTGCTTTTGTGTGTTGGAGGGGGTTTTAATACCTTTTGTTAATCCTTTGACAGTTTCATATATGCGTGTAATTTATTTTGATCATAGCCACCACCTGTTCCCTTCCCTCCCTCTGAACCCTTCCTCTTCCAAACAACTTCAACTCCTACTTTCATGTTTTTAATGTCTATATATACATATATATGTATGTATATATACGTATATATACATATGTGTGTATGTATATATATATATATATTCTCTGTGTGTGCCTGAATGTACGCATCTGCACCATGTGCATGCAGTGCCCACAGAGGCCACAAGGGGGCATCAGATCCCCTGGAACTGGAGTTATGGGCAGTTGTGAGCCAGCATGTGGGTGCTGGGAACTGAACCTGGGTCTTCTGCAAGAGCACTCAGTATTCTTTAACCACTGAGCCATCTCTCCAGTACTTGGAGTGGTTTTAAACAGCCACATTACATTTGTCAAAATTCACTGAACTGTGCATTTGAAATGCGCACAATTTAATCATGCAAACAACATCTCTGAAAATAAATGCCCTATTTGCTAAAGCTTGGAGAGTTGGGTTTCTGTGAACGTGGCTGGCGGTAAGCCCTGGTTAATTAAAAGATAACGATAAGGGCAGTGAAATGAAAGCATCATGGAATGCGGTATGTCTCTCACCCCGCCAGGCTCCCAGGCCTTCAGAAGGAGTTGTATTGATTGCCTTGTCAATCACCTTCTTCAGGCTTCGGGTACAGTTGGGTGGGAAAACAAGTCCTGCTGGGTGGAAATGAGATCACATGCGCTTATTCCAAGGGCGACTGAAAGGCCAGGAGAGTTAAACCTTCAGGCATTTGCAGGCAACTTGGAAAAGCTTTAGAATCTCACAGCCATAGCCGGGTGGCGGTGCACGCCTTTAATCCCAGCACTCTATAGAGGCAGAATCTCTGTGAGTTTGAGGGCAGCCTGGTCTACAGAGTGAGCTCCAGGACACCCATGACTACTCAGAGAAACCCTGCCTCAAAAAAATTTTAAAAATTAAAAAAAGAAAGAAAGAAAGAAAGAAACTTGCAGCCGTGAAATAGGGTGTGTGAACCAGACGTACCTAAGTTTTTGACACACAAAAAGTCCCAAAATGACATCTGAATTAGACTTGGGGGGCGGGTAGGGGAGTTTACATCTGATGCTGTGGTTCCCACCACCAGCCTGTCTCTGTCCCCGCCCTTCCCCATGTTTTCTTTATGGAGCAATCTCAAGTGGTGTTAGCTCAAAGCAGCTTCTGCAGCCACATAGGACCTTCCTGTGGAGCCTTCTCTTTGCCCATCATTTTATCCAAATGCACGGTCCACAGGGGCCGAGAGTCTGCTCTGCAGGTGCCTGGCCTTGCTGGTAAAAGAAGTTTGAAAACGGACTCAGGAGGGAACCGGAGGACGATTTATTGGAGCCAGTGAGCTAAAGAGCATCAGGCCAAGCTGCTGGAGGTGGCAGCAGCCGCTGGGAGGGATGTGGAGAGGGAAGAGACGCCTGCACTCCTCACAGAGAACAGCTCAGACACTCCGGGGAGGGCAGGATGGGAGAGCCAGGAAAGAGAAAGACCCCGGGTTCCTTCATGTGTGAAGGGGTCCGACATTTGCCTTCTTCTTCCCGGGGTGAGGTGGACCTTGGGCGCAGAAACGGCACTCCTTCCTTTCCGGTCAATGAAGGGGGAAATATTCAATTTTAATAGTACATAGGCTGGGCTAGTAGTCAGCTAAAATGGCTCAGAGTGGCCTCAAACTCAGGACGTGTCTAAGACGGGAAGGCGGAGAGTGACCGTGGGCCACCTTTATTACTGTACGTCTGCCGCTGGGCTGGGTCAGCTTCCAAGAAGGAATGAGTAAAAACAGCTATTGCCACTCGCTGACCCACTGTGTGATATTTTGATTGCACCCCGAAGCTCCCAAGACTGCCAATAAATAAAGTTTGCTTTGAATCAGAAGGCAGAGGTAGCTACTAGCTGACCAAAATTAACCATAGAGGTTTTGGAGGACTGAAGACAGAAAGAGAGACACAGGAAGTAGTAGGGTGGGACTGGCACAGCCCTTTTTGGATGAGGAGTGTGTGTGTGTGTGTATACGTGTGTGTGTGTGTGTGTGTGTGTGTGTGTGTGTGTGTGTCACAGACAGAGAGAGAGAGAGAGAGAGAGAGAGAGAGAGAGAGAGAGAGAGAGAGAGAGATATTGCTTCTCTGATCATTCAGGTTTTTTACCCTGATATCTGACTTTTATTGATAAAGAATAATTAGATAAATGCTTCACTTACCTCTACGTTTTGTTAGTTTTGCATGTCGCTCTTTAACGCTGCAATTAGTTACAAGCTTCTTGTGGTTCTGTATCACTCACGGAAAGGCTGAGGTCGGCTTGTTTTTAGTGTAGTAGTCCATTGGGAAGACTAGCACTTAAAAAAGAGTTACAAGCAGCTTGCAGACTTTTCATTATAACGTTTTGTAAATTGGCCTTTCTTTCTCCTCCTTTTTTACTTAGTTATTGCCGACACCAATCATACCACTTGCCTAAGAGGAAAGAGCCATATTGGAATTACCGAGGAGTTACCCCCAAGCCCCTTATAACACCCCCCACTCAGGCGTCTGGAGACTCCGGATCGAAGGCTGAAGTCCCATCTCTAAATTCCTGCCTTCCAGGGGATGCTCATGTCAGGCCAAGATGTCTGCCAGATTCCTTGTGGACCCCAGGGCGGGTGGGCTGCAGGGGATCTATTCCTGGTACCTGCTCCATTCGTTGGGAAGACACCAGGCAACTGCTCCCGGTGATGGCCGTGAACGGTTGTTCCTGTGACACTGGTGGTGCCATGGGGAGAATAAGAATCCTGGAACCCCACAAAGGAACACATGAACAGAACGGACAACTCCACAGGGAGGAGACTGCTTTTCGTAAAAAGGGTAGCCCAGAGCCCAAACTGGACTGTCAACCTCACATGGCCAAGAGCGCCTCTGTCTCTTATTCCTAATGCATGTGGTAACTAGATCTGATCCCAGCGGTGGGAGACCAACTTCACAACCACCCCGAAGAGGACGGCTCGGGGGTATGGGCCCTTGGCAAGCTAACCACCTTTCATAGAAAAATAGAACAGCGCACGCCTTTAACCCCAGCACTCGGGAGACAGAGGCAGAAGGATCTCTGTGAGTTTGAGGCTAGCCTGGGCTACAGAGTGAGTTCCAGGAAAGGCACAAAGCTACACAGAGAAACCCTGTCTCGAAAAACCAAAAAAACAAAACAAAACAAAGAAACAAAAAATTTTCCATAGTGATAGTTGTGTGAGCCAAAATCATGCTGTATGGTCTCCCATTTTATTTATTTTATTTTATTTTGGTGGTGGTGGTGTCACTAATCTGGACAAGCTTCATTTGGGAAGATAAAGAAACTGGGCCCATGCTACGCTGCAGCAATGACCCTGCCATGTTCAGAGACAGGAAGGAATGCATAGCTCTGGTTAGGAAGTACCTCTGGGAAAGGTCCCAGATGCAAGTTCAAGAGAGATGGATCGCTGAGGCTGTAGTCGTTTAAATAAAAAATGGCCATATAGTCTCAGACATCAGACATCTGAGCATTTCCCCCCAGGTGAGGGCCCTGTTTGGGGACATGTAGAAGGCGCAGCCTTCCTGGAGGAAGCATGTCACTGGGGGTGGACTTTGAGGTCTTGAATCCTTACCTACATCTTTTTTTCTAATTTTTTTTTTTATTTATTTACGTTTATTTATGTGCATTGGTGTGAAGGTGTCAGATCCCCTAGAACTGGATTTACAGACAGCTGTGAGCCGCCACGTGGGTGCTGGGAATTAAACTCGGGAACCTCTGGAAGAGCAGCCAGTGCTCTTAACCGCTGAGCCATCTCTCCAGCCCCCTCACCTACATCTTGATGCTGGTGGTTTAAGATGTGAGTTCCAGCTCCTGATGCCATGCCTGCCTCCCTCCCTGACGTCATGGACTCTAACCCTCTGGAACTATACACCAAAATAAACTCGTCTATAAACTGCGTCGGTCATGGTGTTTTTATCACAGCAACAGAAAAATAACTAATCCAGAGGGCAATGAGTTATTAATCCCACAGACAGACAGACAGACAACAGCGTGGCAAGGGCTTTGATGAGAGGAAGTCAGGGACTACAGGGACTACAGGGAGGAAGTGGGAATCTCTTCTACTTCTCTGACAGTGAGCATTAGCCTGCAGCCAGGCTCGCTGATTCCCAGGCAGAAAGCGGAGAACTGGAGTGAGGCAGGCGGGCTGGGGGGGGGAGG